GAGTTGATGCATATCAATTTTCAGAGCTCTACGGCCGAAGCGATAATCTCACATTTCGAAGGCTCAAAAGCAGATTTGGTAGTTTGCGATGGTGCACCTGACGGTTACTACACTTCATTTTTAAACTCAGTGTGCACATATGCTTTGTGCAGTTCTGAACAACTGTCAAGACTGGAATCAAATTATTGTTTTAAGTGAAGAAAGAACCGTCCAGTTTTAGAATTTTCCATTTGTCACATTCTACCCAAAAATATGATAGTCAAATTTCAGTGACAGGATTGCATGCACTCGACGAATACATGCAAGGTCAATTGATCGTCGCGGTATGATATAATTTAAAATTTCCTCATTAAGTTTTCAAATTTTTGAGGTCTATCGTACATTTCACAGCCATATTCGTTCATCTACTACCTTTTTCTAAACCCTCACTGTGTATCTGTTATCTAATTCAGCTGCATGTGTCTGGTCTTATTGAGTTTTCATTTTCAGGCGCTGAATATTACAACATTTGTGCTCAAAGATTCCGGCACCTTTGTTGCCAAGGTATTTTTAATTGCGTTTTTTTTTTGAAAGGGCTCATTAACTTATGATTTTGGAATATATCTACCATCTTACTGTAAAAACCTCCAGGGTTCCTTATTGTAAAGGTCGCTTGAGAAAATTTTAACCCTAGTTCGGTAGAGTTCTGAAAAAAAAAGAGTTGAATTTCATTTGGATTGTTACAGATATTCCGTGCCAGACATGTTACACTGTTGTACGCCCAGCTGAAAAATTTCTTCGAGCAAGTGTTCTGTGCGAAGCCTCGAAGCAGTCGACAGAGTAGTTGTGGTCAGTTTACGTTATAATATTGCAAATTTAGGTTAATAATGTTGTTGTTAGTATGGAACAACGCAAATTTGATTGATTTTAATAAATTTGCAACGGAGGTTTTCGTTCTCTTTTCCACTTTCGAATCGTTTTGTCTCACCCAAAAAATTTTCAGAAGCATTCGTTGTTTGTAGAGGTTTCCACCTGCCGGATGGCTACACACCAACAATGGAGAATCCTATGTTTACACCTGATTATGGTATTGTTTATTTCATTAGCATATGTAAAACCGAATAGTTCAAATAGCTCTCTTCTTATATGAACTGGAATGATGGTTTTACGATAGCCATACTTCATTAATAATCAAAATCAAAAATCGAAGTTGATCTGATTTCGTTTGGCAGATGACACAGTGAATACACTGGTCGGCGCCAATCGAGTATTAGTACCGTTCGTCGCATGCGGTGATCTGTCAGGCTGGGATTCGGATCGTACCTACAGCCTCGACTTATCAGAGATTGGCGACGAATTCGAGCCAAAACAGCGATACGTCTATACGCCTGTGGTACAGCCACCCACCGAACCTGCTTATAAGGTATTCAAAGCGTTGACCGTTCACTATTTC